ACGTATCCCTTAATTTTTTGTAGTGGTTCCTGGCATATAGACCAAATTTTGTACGACGGTAAGTTTCTCCGACCTTAATAACAAATTTAAGGGTGCTATAAATATATGGCCTGGGCCCATCATGGAACTCAACATTTTTATTGTGTAACAGAAATTATCAATGTAACGGTTTACACGCGGTAGTTTAAGCCGATTATTTTGTGTGTCCACACCAAGTAAAGATAGGTGGATCTGAGTGCTTCAGTCTTGGTACCACGTACTAACGATAATCCCGCAACTTCTCCGGAAGTATAAGGAATAAGACTTCTGTCATCATATTGCAATGTAGAAGTCAGTCAGACAAGGTTTATTGGTTTTATTGCCGCAGCTAAATAATAAATACAGTTCAGTTGCCCCTTTAAATCGTTGGACGCTAGTGCCTAGTCAAGGCCTAGTGTGTCGTAAGAGTGTTAGCCTTAGGAAGGCGTTAACTCTTGTTTAGCTAGTAGTGACTAGTTAGCGTGTGATTCTGTAAGTCATAATACCTCAGGAACCGGAAATATCGAGCTTGTGCACTTATACGACTGGACGTCGTTGTCGGTTTTTAGACCTAAAAGACTCTATAAGTCCAAGACATCTTTTGCCAAGTAGCGCTTAGTAGCTCCGCTACACTTGGTAGCGCTTGTAGTCAATCTACATCTATTCCTACACCGACTAGATCCTCTGCGAGCATGGAAACTGCCATGAAAATCTCTGAGACCCAGCAGATCGATCTTGCGGAGCCTAAATCGCTGATCGGGCAAGAGCAAGTGGATTGTATAGCGGCGTATTTAAGACTCGGATGTACTTCATGTTCGCCTCAAGTCCTTCTCGAACTTTGGGTTCACATTGATCGGACAGATCGATGACCATTTGGCATCTGCAATGCCCACTCTGTATGTTTTAATACCAGATACTGAGTCAAGGTTTCGTCCTCTGGTCTTATTAGTCAAGGAGCTTGAGGGAAAGAGTAAAAACTCTCGTTTTGTGGGTGCGAGAGATAGAGGTTGTCATCAGATCGGCTTTGCGGTGGTTAGAGCAGCAAAAGGCGGGCCTGGCCCTATCAAAGATAGGTGGCCAAGCCATGGAGTAGGCGTTCACTTCTGGCACCTCGATAGAAAAGCATTTTTTCACCCAGGACATGCTAAAACAGCAGCTCTTTAGGGTGTTTGCTCCGCTTGATCAAATATATCGCGTGCGATCACGCTTCCCGTCAATTCGCCAGGGTAAAAAGGACTTAGTCAATAATGACCAAGAGTTGCAAACTTTAATTTATTCTATGCGACTTGATCCTCTACCGGAGGTGGTTTTGGTAACCTTTTTGGAGGGTTTTCGCACCAGCGCTTCTAGAATAAAAGTGTTTCATACACAAACCTCTACATTCCAGGGTGCAGTGGACATAGCGTTGAACGCAGAGATCAACTTTAAAGATGCCCGCTACGAAACATAAAAGTTTCAATCAAAATCGGCGAGCATTGCCTATCTAATGAATAGGGCAAAATACATGGACCTAAGTCTCGCTGAGAAGGACGAAGAAGCTGAGCTTTACGCTGTCGAATAAGCGTTCGAATATCCTTAGATGTTTACGTGCAAAAGCATCAAGCATCTTCTTTCCAATTGTCCTTTGAGAAGGAACAGATAGACTTATTCGATCCGACCTCCCGTTGCTTACTTACGAGTTGGTAAGGCGCGAGAGAACGTCGAGTACTAGTAGGCGCGGGGCGCCCTGATGGGGAGTATTTAGGCTCTGTTGTACCTCTGGGAGGTGAATAGAACATGGCCTAGCCTTAAGTGGCTTCGTGAGCAATGTCACGAATCAAGAGCACAAGCCAGGCATGTTATTTGCAAAAGCAACGGTGAAGGGCTTTGATAAGCCAAAGTCGATATTGATCGACTTCGGGGCGTCTAGATTCTACTTTCGACGTTGTAACCTGAAAGTATGAGCAGTATGCTGAGGCGCTGAAAGCGCGAAAGGGTGAGACTGTCACTTATGCTTGGTAACAGGTGCATCCTTCGCTGTGCCCAAAGCTACTGTGAGCTTAGGCGTGAAGTTATTGAGCTTTGAAAGTTGTTGACGCTGTCTATTTCTTGACTTGGATAAGAGGTGTGATCTTATCGTTGGTATGAATTGGCTAGAACGCTACAGATCATGGGCTGATTGAAGATTGAAGACCTTACGCGCAGTGCGCACTGTTCTTAGTGGAGCCTTGGAGAGTCTTGAACCAACCTCTGCTAGGAGACAGAATCGCTACTGGCGCGAGCCGCGGACTGAGACATTCAGTGCGCCGGACATCGGTGTGGTTGAACCCGGTGAGTTGGACGATGTCAAAAACGTCAGTTACGAGCCAAGCTCAATGAATTATTGTAAGAATGCACGTAGTCCGTCGAGTGATGATCTTTGTAAGATCGAATAACTGGATGCTGAATACATTGTTGGCCTAGAGCCAAGTCATCATGGGTTAAACCCATCTGGTCAGCGTGGAGTGGCACCTAAGTACCCACTGAGTAATGTTGGCCGTGTATGCGAAATAGCAAGTCATCAAGGGCGACGCCCATTTGATGAGTGCGGAGTGGCACGTAAGTACCCACTGGGTGTTGATCTCATTGAGAGTGACTCATCACCCAATGTCGGTACTAGTATCGGATCGGAAAATAATCAAATTAAGGTTGGCGCAATTCGTCACCTTGAGGGCGGTACAGTCCTGGATGTCATTACTGACATTAGCTCCGGTGATGGGAGACTTAACGCTGGTAAGCATATTAATTTCGGGGTTATTGATGTATACGGTGTCGGTAATGCCAATAGCTTTTGTACAAAACAAGTTTAGTATTATGATGTAATAAACATTGGGAGCGAGAAAGTACCAGTATCTTTGAGACGTTCAGTCTCGTCACATGGACGAAAGCAACATTAGAGTGATGTAATGCAACGCAAAGGTGTCTATTACATCACTAAGTGGTAATAGCGAGCAGCTATATACACTCGTTAATGTAGTGACTGGTGACGTTGATTGATCAGTGAGTCTTGAAAATCTACCGTCTCTGGATACTCTGTTAGATCTAATCGAAATGTCGGTCGACGAGTTTAAACTAATTTTTAATTCGGGTGAATTATTCAAAAGGTGGGCATTGGATCCTATAGTGAGTTAAGCTTGTCGTCGCTTCTTATCGAGGCTGTCTTGGAAGACACAAATGCGGCACTGATTGCTCGAAGTCATCGACCCTGATAGATCCTAATGACTAGTATGGCCTGTTGGATATCATTGTTTGCTGAATACAGCCTCGAGATGAAGTATAAGCCGCGCAAGCAAAGTGCTGATGCGTTGATACGTAGACCTGGTTATGAGCTTGCAAATGATACGACTCTGTCATCATACATTGTAAATTTTTTGTACGAGATATGCACGTGATGAGCAATGTGTAGCATTGCTACATTCTCTTGAAAGCGAGAAGTTTTCAGATTCGGACATAAATATGTCGGCACGTTTACGTGCGAGCCTACATCAGTATACCATTGATGGCGGGTTGTTGTGCGATTACAAGGGTGTTGAGGATGTGCCTCGCATTGTTGTTCCTCATGATAAAGATTTGAAGTATCGTGTCCTCTTTGAGGCACATGACACAGCTTTGAGCGGTTATCGCGGTCGTGAGAAGACACATAGCTCTGGAAGCCAAACGTATTGGTAGCCCAAGTTGTACAAATGGGTGAGTACATCTGTGTGTACGTGCAAAACGTGTCAACGGGTCAAACCCTCAGCCCATGCGGCTGAGTCGTTTGATAGTTTGCCTGTACCCACTCGGTGTTGGGAGTCATCAGTAAGGACTTTGCGTTCGACCTCTCAAGGGTCTCAGACGACAGTACTGGCACTGTATTCTTTGTTGACCGTTAGAGCAAGATGGCTCATTCAGCGGCTGTACCTGATTCCATCGATGGCGAAGGTACAGTGAAGCTGTTTATCGACCGTGTGTTTCGTCAACACGTTTTGCCTGTGGCAAGTGTCTATGATCGTGTTTAGTATATAATCGATCAAAGGCGAATTCGATCGTAAAACCAAATATCGGACGCTTATAAGTAAAGGCCGATCGCGCTGTCCACGTATACTGCACTGGATTAATACAGACATAACAGCATCATGCTCATTCTTCAGTGTATGTTGCTGTATGGTGTTTTGCTACTTGATTCAGTTCTCCGAACTGGATCACTGGTATTAAAGAGCGAGTTTCAGAGCTTGCTCCCCTGTATTATCTTAAGGCGACGACCTATCACGTAACCAGGTGGCCTCTAAAAGATAGAGGAGCATACTGAGGCATGCTCCTCTATCTTCTAGAGGCCACCTGGTTACGTGTTAGTTTAATGAACCGGATCACTTGAAATCGGTCCGTTGCTCACATCTCTGCTGGCGGTGCAACGGGCAACCCTGAAGCTTGTACTGAGGACAGTACAAGCACTTATTCCGATGACAGAATAAGGTGGTGCCTCGGAACTTCACGTACACTCGTACGTGCAGAGGAAGAATGTAAGAAGAAGCGAGTACTTAGTTTAAGCAAAAAGTAGAACTGTATTTAGCATAGTTAATGTCTGTCAATAAACCACTGTTTATCGACATCTAACGATGTCTGAATACAAATATGCATATCAACTATCTGCTCACCACTCATTGCGTGCGTCTGTCGTGGCGCGTCTTCGTTGGTTGATATAATGGCCTATATCAACCAATTAGGAACTACTCGTAAGTGCTGCAGAATATTTGTCCTTATGACATTATTCTGAGAATATAACTCTTATAATTATATTCTATAAACGATTTCTTATAAATTGTTATGTAACGATTCACCCCGTTACATCACCCCCCCCTTAACCCTCAGTCACTTTAGTGACTGATTGACTAAATGGATACTCGTCCCAAATCATTTGGGACGGGGTTTGCACTTGTTGGTACGAGTCCACAGTCCATCCGTTTCATCGCATGGTTAACAAGTCCATGCGGTGCGCGAACAAGGCCGCTGAGAGCGCGTCTGCACGTCTCTGTGCAGACGCCGAAGCAGAAACCGCTGCAACCGATGTTTCATCGGTTGCTGATGCATCTCAGCCTGTATCACCTGGTGATGCAGGCGCTCGTTATGAAGACACTCATGTGTTCACAGAGTATGAGCTCGGTGTCTCATACTCTCCTGATACGGAAGAAGGATCTGTATCGAAGGCGATTGAATCCAAGCCGCCTGCCAAACGTGGCATGGATGATGCTACTCGTCGTAGCATCTTCGGTTCATCTGAAGAATCAGATGAACCATCGCCAAACCGAAGGTGCTAGAGATCGCGAGACTCGGGCGCTAACAGTGGTGTCGGTTCTCCTATTGACACCACTTCGCAACGAGGTACCAGTACTTCTGTCGGCACGTCGCGAGAAGAGCGGGACCGCAATGTCTTGCGTCTCGCTACCGAGAAGAAGGCATGGATGCCTCCCAAATCCGTCATGGATCACTTGTCGGCGACGACGAGTGATCGTTATCGAACACGGTTGTTCGATTCGTCAAGGATCCATCACCTTAAACCCAGTGCGAAGAACTATCGCGCTGAAAATGATTTCTTTATCGATGCTTTCTTTAAGCATCGATGGTACAGTGGGAATCACAAACGTGATGGTCCCTCACTGCTTCAAGCGTGGAACGCTTACATCCATAACCTTGAGGATGTAGGTCGTGATGTTTGGAACGACAAGCTTATCAGAGCTCGCGATGAGTTTAAAAAGCGAACCCCGACAGGTGCACGCTACAAGCTGCATCGTCTGTCAAGGGAGAAAGTATTACCCTGCCTATCATGGGGAGACTCATGCCCTTGTTGTGCAAACAACTCTGCACGACCACCAAAGGAGGCCTACCTCCTTGCCAGTCTGTGGTGGCGCGTACGTATCTCTGCTGAGATGTACGAAGGGATTGACAACCTGAAAACCCTTTACGACCATGCCGAAAAGACGTTCTCTGGAGGTCCTTCTGCGGCACTGGATGTGTCGCGTCGTACTGCTCAACCAGATCCAGTACGTCAATTATCAGTTGGGAGCGGGGCTCCCAAGAATCCCAGGACGGGGGATCACCGCGCAACCGGACGAGGTAACTAGTCCGACGTCCGTTCACATGGCTGTGATTCAACAGCAGCTCAAGCAGATAGCGCTGGCCACCGTAAGATTTCTTCAAAGGAGGTGGAGGAGGAGGGTGATGCTAACCTAACTATCGTGGGGGAGCGTGTGTCTCCGAAAGTTTCTTTGAACGCGTAACTCTTGCGTTACGCGGCGACCTCGAGCGTGAGCGGGACAGGCGTCTGTAACTGGCGGACAATGTCTTGAAGCATCGAGCTGAGTTTGCGTTTGCTCAGATTGAGAACGAGAGAGCTTTAAAATCTCTGCGTGACGAGCATAGGGTAGCTCGTGGGGATATTGACCGGTCTCGGGCTGAGATAACTTCTCTTCAGACCCTTACCGATATCCACCATCGGGAGCACAAGGCCCTCTGTGAGATGCTTGAACGCAAAGGCGTTCTTCATCGGAAGAAGCAGCGTACTGATGGTAAGGCTTAAGCCGACCAACGTAAAACGTGGGATGCGTTCGCATCTTACGTGGTAACTCGATCGTGTATGCATTGCCTAGGCGATGCAATACACGAAATGGGCCGATGTACTTGAGTGGAAGTTTACTACTACCCAAGTTAGTCACTACATGCTTTGGTAGATTGACCGTAGACAGTAGGACTAAGTCACCTTCATTAAATAAAAGAGTGTTTGCCCTTCCATTCTTGTGAACGTTTTGCTTTTGCTTTATCCACCGCTTCGGCGATGGAGTCTTGCACAAAACGGACTACCGTTTCACGAGCCAGTATGAACTCATCTGATGACTCGTTAGCTCCAGTGCGCTGTGAGCGCACTGCAGCAACATCAACCTTTTCTTCAGTGAGGGCTTCCGCACTCTCACTGGCATCATCTTCTTCGATATCGATGTTATCGATATCGGCATCAAACGCAATGACCTCTTCGTCAGAGCGTGATGAGCTTGAACCAAATCGGTTTTTGCTCGCGCGATACTCTCCCCCTTAAACTAGAGTTACACTCGAGTAAGGTGGGTACACGCGGATGGCGTAAGCCATTCACGTAAAACGGTGTATGTGTCGTGGACGCATGCACCGAGTTGTTAATGGCAAACTCTACCATGGGCAAAAACTCACTCCAACTCTTAAAGGAGTGTACGTATCCTCGAAGTATATCTTCAAGGACACGATTGGCTCGTTCCGTCTGACCATCTGACTCAGGATGATCATATGTCGACATCTTCAAGCGCGTTCCGAGTTAATTGAACACGGAGCGCCAGAAATCAGCAGTGAAGCGCGGATCTCTGATACGAGTTTACGGGGTAACCCATGAAGTCGGAAGATGGTGTCTATAAAGACACAAGCACAGCCACTTGCCGTGATTGACTCTGGTACAGCCACGAGGTGTACCATTTTACTGAATCTGTCAATAAATACGAGAATACCCGTATTCCCGCGTGCGTCTTTGGGTAACCCGAAGACGAAATCCATTGAGATGGATTCCCAGCACTCAGCCGGAACCGGTAGAGGCTGTAAAGGTGCACGCAGTGAAGGACTTGACTTCACTCGTTGACAGACTTCGCATGCGCGAACATACTTTCGCACAAACTGATACTGGCGGGGCCAGTAAAAGTCTCGACTTACCGTGAGATATGTTTTCTCCCGGCCACGATGTCCTCCTATAGGAGCATCGTGATACTCGAACATGATCCGCAAACGCAGATCAGTATCATCTGGAATGAAAACACGTGGTGTGTCACCAGAAACGGCTGTATAATACAGTAAACCGTTGCGAGTAGTGTATCGATCTGATGCAGATCGATACGCAGACGACAATCGCTTCAACGATTATCGAGATGGCTGTGAGAGTTGTGTCAACAACTCCACAATTTCACCATCTTGGGCGTACGCCCGCCTCACATCATCATGCAACGTTGAAGATGGTACTGAGGACGTCATAACCGCTACAGTGACTGTGTCATTGTTGGGTTTCACGACTGGTTCAAAGTCGGGACGACGTGAGAGTGCATCAGCGACGACATTAAGTCGTCCTGGTTTGTACTCGACCGTAAAGTTGTATTCTGCAAAGAATGACAACCACCGCGCCATTCGTTGTGAAAGGTGCGGGCTGTTCACTGCCGTGCGTAATGACGCATGGTCAATGTCAACAATGAAGGGTCTATCTCCTAATAGATAGACTCTGAACTTCGCGAGTGCATATTTCACGGCAAGGAGTTCCTTGTCATGCACTGGATAGTTCCGCTCAGCTGGTTGCATCTGACACGACTGATAGCGGACGACGCGTTCTACACCTTCAAGATCGTACTGCATTAATCCACAGCCGATTGCGAAATCGCTGGCATCACAGACCACATGAAATGGTCTGTCCTGATCGGCTATTGCTAGGACTGGGGATTGTATCAAGCTCTGCTTGATACCATCAAAGGAGCGCTGACATTCAGCATTCCATAACCACCTCTCGTTCTTTCCAACGAACGAGAGAGGTGTACAGTCATCTCGGCGTAATTGCGTGAATACTTTTACAAATACGCCGCTAGCCCAAGGAATTTTCGAAGACATTTGACATCAACTAGCACAGGCCAGTCGGTGATCGCCTTGATCATTTCGAAATCAAGACGTACACCGTTCTTACCAACAATGCACCCAAGAAGTGGTATTTCGCTGGCTGCGAATATACACTTCTTGAGATTGGCATACAATTGATGCTTTCGCATGATTGTAAGAACCTGTCGGACGTGGTATCTGTGAACCTCAACCTCCGACTTTCCATCCCTAGCCCGACTGTGGATGAATACGTCATCGAAATAACTCGGCGCGAATTCTCGCACTGGTCTCAACAGATGTGATACACATCTGTTGAACGTGGCAGGGGCATTACTAAGCCCTTGTGGCATTACTAGCCATTCCCAGAGCATGCCGCTAGGCGTGCCCACTGCGGTATAGGGTGTGTCCCATTCTCGCATAATGATTTGATAGAACCCATCCATCAAATCCATGGACGAAAAGATGGTACTCTTTGACATACCATCAATGATTACGTCCTTCCTCGGTATCGGCGTCTGAGCCGGTACCGTTGCAGCGTTCAATTTGTTGAAGGCATGCACAATCCGCCACCCTCCTGTTGCTTTTCGAACACAGAAGGTCGGAGAGCTATGTGGGGAAGTTGATTCCCTCACATGGCCCGCAGCTAAACGATCGGCAAAGAACTTGTCGATCGCATGTACTTGTTCACGAGGCAGTGGTCACTGCTTCATGACACAGTACTTCGAGCCTGGTTTAAGCTCGACCTCGTGTCGAATACCTTTATCCTGCGGTAATTCGCACGAAACAGTTTCAGGGAATACATCCTTAGATTCAACCAAATCTTCATAGAGAGGATTTGTCTTGAGCGATATCCACGATTGGGAGTCATATCGCTTAACTCGTGTCTTTTCATCCAGGACACTCTCGTCCATAGATGAACTACTGAGAACTCTCTCGTTCTCAGTGAACACTGTTGCTGACCTTATGTCGGCTACACACTCGTCGTCAGCGACGGGTACGCAGATCTGCTTGACTTTGCCACTACGCGGATCACGCAAGAACCTTTTATGTTCGAGCGTTGGCAACTAAGTGATCTCCGAAGTCAACTTCGGAGGCGCAATCAGATCAAGTGTATAAGCACCTACACTTGATCCGTTATTGACTATGACATTCAATGTCTCTGTCATTTCCTGGGCACTTATTCCCTCAGGCCTCAAAGGACTTATTCCTTCGGCTTCCCGGGTACTTATTCCCGCGGGTTTCGGGGAACTTATTTCCACCGTATTTGTAATCTTGGGACTTATTCCCTTTACTTCCTCTAGCTGTGGATGCGCGACCACAGCGAGATCCTCTACGAAAGACTCTCCAGTCGATCTAGGATTATCGTTTCGCTTAACCTGAGCGATCGATTGCTTATCTTCTAGATGTTCCCCGCTAGGGATACATCTTTGTCCCGGTCCACTCGACTTATTCGAGTGGTGGACCTTCGGCGCAGCCTGTGTTTCCTCACAGCCGCCGGAACTTTGCTCCGAAGTGTAACCGTTTGTTACACTAAGGTTTCGTGCAGTCGTACTAACGACCGTACCACAAGTGAGGCCATCGCACTCACTCGTAGTACATCCACACGCTTGTGGACGCTCCAAAACGTTCATCAGATGGCCATCTGATGAACAAGCGGCAGGCATCGTTACTGTTCGATGCTGCCAGTTTACCCGTGGTTCGTACCTTCTGAGCCACGGTATTCCAAGGATGACATCAAATTTGTCATCCAATTCCAATACGATAAAGTCATCGTCATATTGGGTATCTTCTAGCGTATAGTGGATCTTCACTGTACGCTTTATGACGGTTACGGATGCGCCTGTCGCAAGACGTACCGTCATCCTCGTAGGAGGTGTGTCACATTCTCTGAATTTGAAGTGACCATCTTCTAGCGATTGGCGTCGCACAAATTGTTGGACGCCGCACAATCGACTAGAGCTCGAAGGGACAACTTATTCGTCGCTTCGAGTTTCAAGGTAATGAGTGAGACCTCATTACCTAGAGCAGCAACGCACAATGTTTGTGTGTTGGGAGCAACCTTCATCAAGAGGCCTACAAATTCTCTTGACGTTGCTGGATCAGTAGGGTGCTCCGCACCTACTAATCCTGTCCGTTTTTTGACGGTCCATCCCGTTGTTGCGTCTTTGCACCAACTGCGGACCCTCGTCCCTGCCCCTTTCTCATGGGTGGACGGTCACTACGCCCAGTATCGCGAGACACTGGACGAGGGGCACTACACTCGTAAGCGTAGTGTCCTGTCTTTTGACATCTGTTGCATCTCTGCAACTTCTTGTAGTCTGTAGAGCGAGCCTTCTCGCTCTCTACATAACAGAGTTCCATCGGCTCTGGACCTCCGCTGTCATATCGTCTCGGTTGACGATATGATGTCGAGCTGGCGCGAGCCTGTCTCAGACTGAAGTCTTCCTGCTCCGCAATGGAAATGGCTTGTTCTAGTGAATCTAGTTCAAGCCGGAACAGGTGAGTCTTGACGGGACCATCCGCAAGACCCTGAATGAACACCGAAACCAACGTGTGTTCATCAACCGGGTTGGAGCTTATACAATTCGTGAGATGTCGTACATGTTGCGCGTAAGCGTGCACGTCACGCTTACCCTGCTTGAGCTTCAAGAGTTCGGTTCGAGCTCTGAACTCAGCTCTAGGCGGTTCAAACGTTTGCCTGAGCCGTGACTTGAAGACTTCTAACGACCCAAACGCATATGGGTCGTGCAACTTGAGCCCCAGTGCCCAAGTCTTGGCACGTCCTGCCAGATTTGACTGGGCAAATGCAACTTGCATATCCCCGTCGTCGATGCGACGCGCCCTTATGGCGTCATCCAATTCGATGAACCATCTCAAGAGGGAGTCCTCTTCGACTCCCCTATACTTGTTGATGTCAATCTTCAAGGTTTCGGGTCGACGCGAGTGAATCGACCCACCAGCAGCAGCCTGATGCTGTCTCAACAGTTCAAACTGTTGAGCACCCTGTTCTCTCAACAACTCTGCTTGTTGAGAACCTTGTTGGTGAAGCAAGGCTTCTTTCTCGCGTTTAGCGTCAAGGTCATTTTGAATGAACTTGGCGATAGTAGCATGTTGGGCATCTCTATTGAGAGCCTCTAGCATGACGCTAACAGCATGAATGCCCCTAATTGAACCCATCCGTTCAACCGCATCCCATTCGACATCGCTCAAATGGGAGTAGCCGTCACGCGTAGCGTGAAAGCTTTGGTCATCTTCATCATCCAACATATTCATGTTAGATGTGAACGTGGTCCTTGGACGGACTACAAAGTGCTACCAGGTGTAACGGGGCACCCTGAAGCTTGTACTGGTGACAGTGCAAGCTACTTATTCTGATGACAGAATAAGGCGGTGCCTCGGAACTTCACGTACACTCGTACGTGCAGAGGAAGAATGTAAGAAGAAGCGAGTACTTAGTTTAAGCAAAAAGTAGAACTGTATTTAGCATAGTTAATGTCTGCAATAAATCACTATTTATCTTCATCTAACTATGTCTAAATACAAATGTGTAAATCAGTTATCTGCTCACCACTCATTGCGTGCGTCTGTCGTGGTGCGTCTTCGTTGGTTGATATAATGGCCTATATCAACCAATTAGGAACTACTCGTAAGTGCTGCAGAATATTTGTCCTTATGACAATATTCTGAGAATATAACTCTTATAGTTATATTCTATTAACAATTTCTTATAAATTGTTATGTTACGGTTCTTCCCTTTACATCGTTTGGGTAAAGGAAAAAGAGAAACTAATTTATTATACTTAAGCCATAAATATACCTTGGGAATCGCTAAAATTACACCCCTTTTTGTTAGATTCACACCCTTCCTTCTAAAGCTTATATATGAAATTCCTATACATTTTAAGATTTGTTTTTAGCCTTTAAACCGTCAAAAGACGTTACACGCAAATCGAGAAGACGTCGATATTCTTGCATCTCGTACTTCACATACGCTCAATATGTTGAGGGTAGCAAACTGACAGGTTGTCGGTGAAGCATGATCTTATGTCTGTAAGCAGTCAGGGGGGACGAAATAAAGCGTGCTGTACTCTAATCCGAGCTGAGGCTTTTACGGATCTGCTCCGTCACCTTATGCATTTCAATCTATCTGTATGTTTATATCAATTTATCGTACTATCTGACTATATCTTTTTTTCTAATCAAATATCTTTATCTAATTATGTATCTCTTTTTTATTATGTTGATGCAGTGGAAAAGACTTTGCAGGCTGTCGAAATAGTTTCGAAAAAAGTGGCTCCCAAGGCGTGGGCTGAAGCGGTGGGCATTGACAAGACTCAGCCGTTACTGGAAGGAAGTGGACAGGCGACGTCGTGGCCTATTGTAGCTGCTGGTGATGGAAACGCGACAGCTGCAAAGATAGTAAGGGATCCAACGAAGCCAATTATATTTGAGGACGTGATTCAGGAGGCACTTAGTTGTTGGACGTGTCGGCTCCAGCCAAAGAGATGAAAAAGAGGTAGAAAGAAGTACATTACGAGGAAGAGAGTGAGAAAGGAGAAGGTGATGACGTTGTGGTGGTTGTGAATATTAAGATTGCTGCAGGGGGCTGGTGAATCAAGGCTACACGTGCTTTCAGAATGTTATCATGCAGTCTGTGCTGGCTTGTCCGCCGTTTTTGAAGTGAGTTGATTGGTGCTGGGCTGTTACTACTGTTTCCTTTGGTGTGCTCACTGTGTGCAGTTTGTTGGTCGAGATTTCGACTGCTTGTCCACCAACGACTTTAATGTTAGCGAGTACATCGACGTTCAAGGCGTGGCGATACATGGCGGCGTTTACGCGCGAGTTTGAAGAACCGACAATGGCTCAATGTACGTCGAGCATCGTTTTTTCGTAGGTGTGGATGGCTTAAGCGTTGTAGGCAGTGCCAAGTGATAGTGCGTCGTTTGGAATTGTATCGATGAAACAGTGCAGGCTAAAGTCAGTAACGGTGACCGAAAGGCCAACGATATGCATGGCAAAGCACCACAGGCGATTCGTATCAGCGAATACTTCATGGACGTATTGAGTGCTTTCCAGAAGATGCGCGGAGCGCAGGAAGATGCACTGGAGTTTTTGGAGTTTTTCTTGGAGTATTTGCACGCAGAGTACGAAAAGAGTGGTCTACGTTTGCCTGCCTCGTGTGGAAAGCAGACAAAGCAGGCTCCTGTGATTGAGCCGAATGAAGCTAGTGCGGACGCGGACGCTAAGAGTGCTCAAGCGTTCGATGAAGGCTGGTCAGAGGTTGGTAAGAAAGGCAAGAGCAGCGTGCTACGTCATAATCCCGTTGACACTGTCCGCTCGTCGATAAATTGGATGTTTAAGGGTGCACTATGCTCCGAGCTGAAGCAGATCGGCAAGAGACACATTTCGATTGCTGTGAAACCGTTTCACTGCTTGCACTTGAACCTCGATTACGAAACACAAGACCCATCGCTTGTTGCAGGCGAGAATGGCACGGCTAATTCATCCGACGCGTCAACTACTGTTGAGGAGATGATCCGCAATTTATTCCACGTCGAGGTGATCGAAGACGCCAACCAGGTTCCAACGATAAAGAATCCCTTCCTGTTGTGTTGACGCTGAGCGTGAAGCGTTTTACGTACCATCCGGAACAAGGACCGGTCAAGTTACAGCAAAATCTAAAGTATCCGCATTTTTTAGAGTTCCCAACGCAGCTACCGCCAGCTGCTTGTCGTGCGGAGAATGGATTGGACTCGTCAGGTGCTGCGCCCGTCAATGGTTCTGGCCCGTTGACTCCTCTTCCTGTGTACGAGTTGTTTGCAGTCGTGTCGCACCTGGGCAAGTACGTGGTGGGAGGTCACTACACTTGCGTTTGCCGCGACAACAAAGACCAGTGGTTTCGTTAAGATGATGAGCATGTAACATCGATCTCGGATGCTGCGGCGCTCATTGAGACTGTTTACTTGTTGCTCTTCATCCGAACAAGTAAACAGCCACCTGAACCGGTTGTAGTGCCACCCTCACTTTCAAGCTCCCCATTTATCAAGGCGACGAGCGTCAGTGCCCCAAGATGCAAGAGTAGCAACGTCACCGGGAAAAAAGTTCCTGGTGGAAGAATTGGAAACAGCCCGCATCTGCGTCATCAGTACTCCCTCCGGCACTTCGACTGTTCTTAGGCATGTCTCCAACAAAACAAGCCGTGGCAACAACATCGAAGGCAAAGAAGTCTAGTAAGAGGAAAGCTTGAGGGGGGGGTTATAGCAGCCAGGGTAGTGAGAAATAAGTGCGTGCTTGAAAAAAACGGTTCATGACGACAAAATAGTATAAAACCTTGAGTGCACACAAGGAGTTCCTCGTTCGAATAGAGTCCCACTGGAAAGTCGTTGCATCGTAGGTCTTGTAGAAGGTGCTGTAATTGATTTTGCTAATAGACGGTTGACACAAGGTTAGCACGAGAGCGCCTCTGGTGCACTCGGTCGACTTTCGACACATTGCACTCATGACATTGACTAGAGTTGTCACAAATTTGAGTGCGTTAATGGATACTAGTATAGTTTGCGAAGGGATCTGCGTAGTAAAGGGCTTGTGAATCTGGCTTGAGATAGCAGTGTTGTTCAGCTAGCGAGTAGTTTGTGCTGTCTACCTAATGGTGACCTCGTGTTGTGCCCGGGGACAAGACGGCGTCCAGAGGCGTGGCTGTTATTACAGAGCAAAGGATTTAACTTGCGATAGACTCAGACTCGAGTAGGTTTGCTGATACGACACTCTATCTTGCTAGCTTACTTTAGGGTCAATTCTTCAAAGCTCGTGGAAGATGACGTCTGGTATATCTTGACACGTTGTCCAGCAAGTTAAACAAAGCGTTCGAGGATCTATGTGCCTTGTCGAAACCGAGGCAGCGGATTCTGTTTGATCGGGTGCAAGGTAATACACAGTGGAATCCGGAGTTTGTACTGCCTACATGTAAGTAGACCACCGACAGTCTTTTCGCACGCGACCAGTTCAATAACATGTACGTATTGAAAGCATACATTTCCGTGCGAGTTCACTAAAGACCGGTGTTCGGAGTCTCATACCGTCGGCAACTCAGGGACTTCCCGTGACTTCTAGGATTTAATACATACCGTTAGCAACACAGGGACTTACCGTGACTTATGTGACTCGACGTGACATTGTAAGCACACATCGTCATCCCCTCATTGACCTCTTTGACACTTTGTTCACATTCGATTTATCGAGTAATACCTTAGTCAGAAAACAAATCTTAAAATGTATAGGAATTTTATATGTTAGATTTAGAAGGAAGGGTGTGAATCTAAGGAAAAGGGGTGTGAATTTAGCAATTCCCTATAACTTTAATCTTTATCTAACTATATTAAATTACGTCGTCGTATGACGACAACCTGCTCACCACTCATTGCGCGTGTCTAGCAGCGATTGGTGGCAATCTATGGCTGATTTGTCTTGTATCAACCAATTTTGGAGCAGCGCATGAATATTATCCAAAAGAGGATAATATTCCTTTAATTTAATCTATCTTGGAAAATATTGGTGGAATATTGTCATGCTAGACAATCTCCCTATTGACACCGTCTGGTGTCAATTTCATGTAACGGTCTACCCCGTTACACTAATGCTCCGTGCGTGCTGCTGAGCCTTCAAGTCGAAATTTCATCACAACCAATCGCTATACATGTGCCCTTCACCACCGATCACGTGTTATAATGCTTTGGAACGGCTGCTCCAAGCCAATGTATTCAAAGAATGACACGTTTTAGGCAGGTACCGACTCAAGAGTCATGAGCGGCCCAAAGTCGATCAGCTCATTCGGAGAATCTACATCGGGAAGCTATTGCAGCAACAGCAACAGTGACAGCAGTCATCAGTCGATTGGAGGTGGTGGTACGCGATGTGTGCGAGGCAATCAGACTGGTATGGATGAAAGGCAAAGCGTGGACCAGTCCAGTGTTCGAGGATCATCGCAATCATCCTCGTGTGAATCCGAGGCTTCCTCGAATGAGGCAGAAGTTCTTTTCCCGTTCGTCTGCCAAAATCGTTTCGTGAACGAGTTTGAAGAGCTGTCAGCAATTGGCAAAGGTGGCTTCGGTCAAGTTACACTCGCCGAAAATCGCTTGGATGGACGAAGGTTTGCGATCAAACGGGTTGGTCTTAATTTGAAGAACCAGACGTCGAAGACTTTGCAGAAGTTTTTGCGTGAGGTGAAAATCCTAGCGCTGCTGGACCACGCTAACATCGTTCGGTACTATCATGCATAACTGGAAAAGGTTGGGGAGAGCACAAATGGAACGTCAGTAGCATCGTCGGTTGCCTCAGACACGAGCTCAGTTGGTGGACTCGCTACTGGGGCAAATTTCTCAATAAATGATCTTCTCGCACCGATCTCAGAGCTTGAGTTTCCAGGCGACCAACGCGACCTCCAGAGCTTCTACATCAATGGAAGCGTGATCAGTGACAATGCCGATGATGGTCGGTTTGTCTAGGAAAGTGAGACGTCTAGTATGGAAGGTGAGGATGGCTGGAAAGAAGAAGATTTGGTCGTGCAAAACAAGCCACGCATGAGCCACCTGCCTCCCCGTGTGTCTTCGTCTTGCGCACCGGCTGCTCATGGTAGCGACGACGACTCTTCGTGCGACGCGGTCGAAAATGTGATCACTGGCTGTATATTCAGATGCAGTACTGTGCTGGCCGCAACTTGGCGGACTATCTGGCTGTTCCGACTCGGCCAATGGAACTGTCGAGAATGCTCAAGATTTTTGTGCAGATTGCAAGTGCACTGATGCACGTACATTCTTGTGGACTGATTCATCGTGATTTGAAGCCAGCAAATATTTTCGTTGCTGACGTAGAGAGAGACGAGATTAAACTAGGGGATTTTGGCTTATCGCGCTACGCTGCGAATGCAAGCAGCCTGAATGCCTCGACAAGTCTTGATGATCCCCAACAAGGATGTCTTTCCAATGGTGTGCGGGACACTTCTCTATCTATGTCGGTGTGGTCGAACATGTCGGAGAGTACTGAGGTGACTGCGGCTGTTGGCACGTATCTCTATGCAAGCCCAGAGCAAGTAGCGGGGAAAAAGTACAACGCCAAGACGGACATGTACTCGCTGGGAATGATCCTTTTTGAGCTGTGCCACGAGCGCTTTGGAACGACAATGGAGCGATATATTACGCTTCGTAATGCTCGAGACAGCAATTTTCCGACTGATCTTCGTGCTGCAAAGCGATGTCCTGAAATCTTGGACATGCTTCGCAAGTTATTAAGCCACGACCCGAGTGCGCGACCAACAGCCGATGCAGTCATTCAGTGGGGGCAAATGATGTTCGAAACGAGCCTTGCTCAGAAAGCTATGGATGTTTTGCGGTTGCCGCGCAACCTAGGCGTGATTCGAGCTGCAGCTGGTGCAAGCTTTTTTGTGCCGGGTATTGATCACTTCATGGTTGGCATCGGCGAAACAGTGGTTACGACCACGTTTTGTCCGAAGGAGGAGGCTGCAATGGAACATTGCAGTGGTGAAGACGGTGGCGAGCGTCGTTTGCCAAACCATGACTTATTGAAGCAAATATGCGATGTGATTGCCGAAGTTCACGATGGGATGGTCGAGATCAAGAAATGTGGACTGCATATGGAGAATGAGGGCGTGACGATTCTCGCGTTTGAGTTGGACCCACAGAGTGCTCTTGCCGTTGCGCCTGGCAGTGACGTGGAAGACTCCGTGGTTTTGGCGATCGCAGCCCTCACTGGAGTGCAAACGATGCATCGTGTGACAAGATTGATTGAAACTTGGTGCCAGTGTCAAGAAAGAAAACAAACCAAGAGGTTCGGTTTCAATTCGAGTACAATGAAGACCCGTCGTGCTTGAAGCGGGCATGAACCACATTCGCCTTGTCGATCAAGTAAAGCAACGAGGACATGGGTACCAGCTGGTCAAGTAATGGTATATCTTGCAGGGTTGCTGGATTATACTTGTCGCAGGAAGGTGAACAAGCACGACACGAACATAGCTCTGTATGTGTTCAGAGCACCAAATCAAGTGTCAATCTAGCTTGCCTGCTGTCAGGTCTCCATGCCATAACAAATGCACTCCATCGCACAACGTCGTGCACTGGAAAACAGTGCCATCAGTTGTCGAGTATCGAAGAGCAGTACGTTCAACGTTGGTGCCGATTCGACCAGTACCCCAAATCCGCCCGTTGGTGGAGGAAGACACGCCTGCATCCGAGTGTAGCAGTAACGAATCCAAACGAGAAGCGGTGTCGGAATTTATCCACTCCTGAAGAAAAGCACAGGTCACGTTCTGGTTCGACCTTGTTCTTTACCTAACGCGTCGTTGACAAGTGTGAGCATCCTGGCTTCGAGCCTGAAATCATAGGATTAACGTGGTTGTATTTCACCTTTTCTGACTTGTCTTGGTAGATCAAGGCCAGCAAAGTTATTCTAGGCTTGTCGCAAGCTCACCAACACCTCTACCACCTTGCTCCATCCAGTACCCGATTGCTGTCGCTAGCCCTTCCTTCATCAAAGCCGATCCAAAAGCGCACTGTCTTGCTCCACCTAACGTCGAATGGAAGGTCCCGCGGTCTTTTGGCGTTTCGGGTCCTCCTTTGGTAACGCTAGTGCAGCCTCGTAAGTCGAAAAAGTGCCTTCCTTCCTCTTTGAATTGTTCGCGCTCGGGTTGCTGGACGACTTTGACTCTACCAGAGCCTTGTTAACAACTTTAGTCGGGTCTTCTTCCAGCGCCGTGTCCAGCGCAGTCGCAATGTTAGTCCATCGAACCTTGCGGTCGTTCTTTTTTTGCGCTTGTGCAACCCATTGTGCTTTACTTGGCAGACACCGAATCATGATTTCACTTATTTGCGCAGCGCGCATGCGTTCGATCATTGTAGCGGAGGACATGCGTCTTTTAGAGATTGCATAATACATCAGCATCCCTTTCGCAATGGTAGACTCCTCCCCCGCTTGCGCTATCGTCCGTAGATATTTTTCGTCGTCTTTGCTGTTGAGCTTTTTAAGCAAGTGCCGATATACATTCTGTCCTCGGCCAGGTTGACTGCCGAGGGACACAAATTTGTATCGATAAAGCAGTCGCAACTTGTTGACCGTCATGTCTTTTTCTTCCGCCAGCTTGGGGAGCTCCAGAAGGTCGATAGAACGGTCGAACGTGATGCCGCGGTTCTTCCAGGACTCTAACATCGCCGCCTCCAAAGCAGTGAATATCTCTCCGTCATTACGACCAGCCACCTTAGCTTTTCGCAAAGCAGACGCGAGTTTGGTTAAGCCATTAGCTTTAGCACAATACACTTCTACCAGATCCTGCATCAGCTGTTCTGCTGTCCAATCCTGTGTTTTCTTCCCCTTCTTCAGGGAGTTCCACTGGTCTGGGCTCAAAAGGTTCTTATCCGTTTGCTGTTGCAGTTGCTCGATGATACTCGTACGTTTGTCTTTAGGTTGAGGAGCCACAGCAAGCGCATGCTCGGTTTCCCTCATCCTTTTTCCAAATCCCGCCCATTTTACTTCCAATTGAGTTGCGTCAGCAATCAGTAGCTCATTGATCCTCGTACTGTCTACTTCCAATCGAGAAGCCACACCAGGCGAATGCTCGTTGACCCTCGTACTGTCTGCTTCCAATCGAGGAGCCACACCAGGCGAATGCTCGTTGACTTTCGTACTATCTGCTTCCGATTGAGAAGCCACGACAGGTGCCTGCTCTTTTTCCGCGAGTGAAGGCAGATCAAGCACCGGTGTCGCCACGGTTCCGCTCGACTCGAGACGTTCTGGTGCATAATGTGCGTGTCTGAGTTGATCCCAATCTTCAGCAGCAAGCGTGGGGATAATTTGGTCGTGTACCTGATCTTCCGCTGTTCCAAGTACGAATCGATCCCAACCTTGAGCATCAAAGTCGGGGATTTCATGGTCGTATGTCCGCTTTTGCGCTCGTCCAAACAACGCAAGGAGACTGTGCACATCCCGAGTCCCTGTCCTGTCTTCGCCATTTGCTTCGTCGTCGCTTTGTGACATGCCGTCGTCGCTGGCGTCGCCCACCCGGTCTTTGGGACGATCACTGGAATGGAGATCCGGCCGCAGCGTCTTCGAACCTGAGGCAGAGTATCTTGAGAGACTTTCGATGAACGCGACCGCGGCAAGGAGCTCCGTGGTGTAGATGCGCATGTTGAAACGGGGTCGGGTGGCTGCTTGTGAGGCTGGCGGGCGAGTTTCGTAGTGACCGGTCGTGCCAGTAGTAGAGACTTTGGTCAGAAGCTGATCCCTTTTCTGAGCCACGATCATCCCACTCTTTGATCTGCGTCTCTTTTACCTGCGGCTTCCTCTTTACTTTACTTCAGTAGTGACTCAAGCCGGTTTGTCTCATAGTGGCGGTGACCAGTATGGGCGACTTGCAGCTGAGCCTAATCACGCGTGCCAAGGGCCGGCAGAAAGTGCATTGTTGTGGGCTTTTGATCGAGCAAGTCTCGCTTTCTATATAAAACGTATCTTCTACCTTGGCATTGGAACCGCTGGAGTGGACAAAGCTGTTGTCAAAGCATCAGCGACAGCACTGTTCAACTCAGAGCCGTCCTCGTAAGTGTGCATGAAGTCAGCGACGACACTAATTACTACTTCACAGCGTACCACTCCCAATTTGCGCCTTCGGGTAACAACTCCCAAGCGACAAATACCTTCAAAGAGCCGGGCGATCAGGTCCCCCGTGAGTAATCGTACGAAAACATGGACGTTCGTCCAAGAAACTGACAGTTAGACTATCCATTAGCCTTAGTTAATATATGCCAACAAGGGTAAGCAAAAAACCACTTTAGAAGAGACGTCACTCGAAACGTTTCTTAGATTAGTAGGACCCATCGCTTTTCAAACGGGCCGCGGTCTTCAGTTGCGAGACGACGGCTCCTGCCCAGCGGCGCGGGTGGGAGCCAACCCGCGACGGCGAAATCTGTAGCGGTGGCAGCTGAAGCGGTGGAAGTCGCAGTGGAGATAATGAATGCTTAAATGTAGTCAGATGAGCCGCTGTAATCCATTTCTCTTGCCCATTGACGACCAATGGTGGATGTTTCTACGGCACAAAAGAAGATAGAGTCATTCATGTCCGTCTATTGATCAATGATTTACTGAATGATACGACGCGATACTGTGTCGATTGAACGACGTGCCGTAATAAATCACCGGATGAGCCGCAAACTCAGTGAGTCAGTTACATGCTTGGTCGCCAAATTAGTCCTTCATCCATATCATAAAGCGCAGATCAGGTTCTTCATCCACATAACCGCCCGCGCGATCCTTGTCCAGTCTGAAGCACATGCCGACGAGAGGATGCAAAAAACAAGGACAGACAGCTTTGGAACTCGAACACCTAGACCTTGTCTACCTTCTACACAAAAGGAGAGCGCACAAGACGCGTTCACGCACGCTTGAGCTGCCGCAATCAAGAGATCGTATCACGGGGGTTGCCTGCGAGGACGGGGAGGTAAGGGCATAGAGTGGTCTGAGCAAGCTACCCAAAAATTGGGGATGCAGTCCATTTGAAAAGCAGAGGGTTCTGCCTATCTTAGAATCGTTTCTATTGAAGTTCATTCCAAAGTGGCCTTATTCTTACCCTTGTTGGCAAGTATTAAATAAGGCTAATGGATAGTCTAACCGTACCACAGATTGTTCAGGCGACCACCTTGTTGTATGTGATTTCTCCTATCTGGGGCCCCGATAAAAGGGGCGAGGCCGTCTTGCCGCTGCGTGCGCTATAGAAGGCAGCGCAGCGAGTAAACCGAAAGGGAACGAGATGAAGGGAACGGTAACAGCGATTGTCACCCCCCCTTCACCTGCACCTACTATTTTGCTTCAGCCTTCGAGTTGTTGGCCCGGACGCCGAGCTTGACTCTTGAGTTTAACGAAGCGAACTTGCCGAGAACGTGGTCAAGATCGGTCCAGTCCAGGTACGTCCGCGGCCCATCGGGGGTGAAAAATCGGGCTGGTCCCCGGCGTTTCCTGCGACTTCAGCGCCCTGTCTGCACCCCGGGCTGGATATCCGATTCCACGTGCCCTCTGCGAAGTGTCCCCCGTGATGACCGAAGGCCAAGCCAAGCAGACTAAGCCAGCAAGGAGAAGATGATGTAGTTTAGGCAGCAGCACACCGATATCGTTAGGCCATGAGCACTTAATCGACATTCAGGATTTACCAAGTAGCGTCATGGATAGATAGGTGGCCATCCGATGCAGAGTGATGCTGCCTCCGATTACATGGTGATAGCAAGATTTGGCTGCGTCGGTTGTCCCCATTCGTACGAGTACATACTTTCTGTGAGCAGAAAGCTTCTCAGGTCGCACGCAAAAAGGTGCAACTGCAAAGCACGAGCTACACATTCAGCATTCGTGCATGTAGGGACAAATGTCCATGACGGGAAACGTTGACTTGTGTTGTTGTGTATGCGCAAGTTCATGACAATGGCAGCATTATGCTCGGTGGGGTGTCATGCTGCAGCAGCTATGGCAGGCGACGTCCTAGATAGAGTGACATTCAAATGCAACCGAAAGGTGGATCGTGTTCATCGTCCTGCCTGCTCCAGTACTGTGTCAAGAAGCTACCAAGCACATGGCGTAGCACATCAAGATTTGCGTGTGTGACCTCTCCGCTACTTCTTTCTTCCGGCACAAACAGATGTACCACACATTCCGCCATGAATGACTACAGTAGCTATGGCTCGTCCAACGATGACGATGTGCTGAAGTGAACCAACATGCGATTTGCATGACAGACCAAGGGTTGGTGACGGCTGATGAGCACCAGCAGTTTCCAGAGATTGTAAAAGCTGTAGAAATGAGAGTCATTTCACTCGCATTTCCCACTCGCAAACCATCCTTCGTCTTCGCTCGATCGATGTGCCTGCGTTGTGCAAGAACAGCACGTAGTAGTGCATTAGCAGTAGTCTGTCTCTTCAGCAAATCCGTCGTTGCAACTACATGATCACGCACCCATTTACACTCTATTCTGATCAAGCAAGCTTGAATGGACTGTTTAGCACTCTTGTGTTGGCCTTGACCGACACACACGTGACGATGATCTCCCTCAAAAGGAGCAAATTTCATGGATGAAAACGTGCTTGTACCTTCTTTGGCGCCTCGCTGACGATACGTGTACACCATAGGACACCATCGTCCGCACGTGGCGGCACACGAAGATAGAGGCACAGGGCTTCGTAACGAGACCTTTGACCGATTGGAGGAGAAGCTCTGTCGAAAAGCTGGATGCATTTACAAAGCTGTTCAACAACTGACGTACTCGGTAACGATTTGATCGGCATAGATACAACCGCACGCATCTTTTGCGTACCACGATCAGTCAGTGATGATGCGAAGACCTTTGAGAGCTCGTGATACGGTTCTAGTGACTGGTATCGTGACCATAGCGATTGATCCTGTGATTTTCGTTTCGCCTCATCTCAACAAAAACAAATGCAAGTGCAACCACGAGGGTATTGTCAGCAAAGCGATTGTCAAAGTGACATGACTGTCACGTATGTATCACGATCTTCTATTTACACATGTTAGTTGCGCAAACACCAGGTGACAACGCGCGGCATTCTGCAAGCCCCCCAGTATTGAGACGCGGAGGGAAGCAAGATCAGACAAGATTCTATCGACTTCGAGATAAGCAGTAGATACACTAGTGAGACCGAAGGATGAGCTGTACGCAAGGTGAATGCCGAGCATTCAAACCCTACTTTATGTTAGTCTGTCTGTGCGTCTATGCGTCTTTGTGACTGTGTGTCCGTCTGTCTGGCTATCTGTCTTTGTGGTGTGTGGATAACACGGGTGCATGTACACGTCGCACCAAGTGCGATGCAGCATGTCCCTCCTCATTGGTAGATTTGCATTTTGATGTCACTCTTAAACTAGGTCATGAACCGCATTCAGTGTTCGTCACATACATGTACCAATGACGCATATGATCGGATTAAAGAGACAAGTGCGGGTGGATGTGTAACGGGGTGAATCGTTACATAACAATTTATAAGAAATTGTTAGTAGAATATAACTATAAGAGTTATATTCTCAGAATATTGTCATAAGGACAAATATTCCGTAGCACTTACGAGTAGTTCCTAATTGGTTGATATAGGCCATTATATCAACCAACGAAGACGCGCCACGACAGACGCACGCAATGAGTGGTGAGCAGATAGTTGATATGCATATTTGTATTCAGACATCGTTAGATGTCGATAAACAGTGGTTTATTGACAGACATTAACTATGCTAAATACAGTTCTACTTTTTACTTAAACCAAGTACTCGCTTCTCCTTACCGTCTTCCTCTGCACGTACCAGTGTACGTGAAGTTCCAAGGCACCGCCTCATTCTGTCGTCGGAATAAGTAGCTTGTACTGTCACCAGTACAAGCTTCAGGGTGCCCCGTTACACCTGGTAGCACTTCGTAGTCCGTCCAAGGACCACGTTCACATCTGACATGAATATGTTGGATGATGAAGATGACCAAATCTTTCACGCTAAACGTGACGGCTACTCCCATTTGAGCGATGTCGAATGGGATGCGGTTGAACGGATGGGTTCAATTAGGGGCATCCATGCTGTTAGCGTCATGCTAGAGACTCTCAATAGAGATGCCCAACATGCTACTATCGCCAAGTTCATTCAAAATGAACTTGACGCTGAACGCGAGAAAGTAGCCTTTCTTCACCATCAAGGTTCTCAACAAGCAGAGTTGTTGAGAGAACAGGGTGCTCAACAGTTTGAACTGTTGAGACAGCATCAGGCTGCTGCTGGTGGGTCGATGCACTCGCGTCGAACCGAGACTTTGAAGATTGACATCTCCAAGTACAGGGGAGTCGAAGAGGACTCCCTCTTGAGATGGTTCGTCGAATTGGATGACGCCATAAGGGCGCGTCGCATCGACGACGGGGATATGCAAGTTGCATTTGCCCAGTCAAATCTGGCAGGACGTGCCAAGACTTGGGCACTGGGGCTCAAGTTGCACGACCCATATGCGTTTGGGTCGTTGGAAGTCTTCAAGTCGCGGCTCAGACAAACGTTTGAACCGCCTAGAGCTGAGTTCAGAGCTCGAACCGAACTCTTGAAGCTCAAGCAGGGTAAGCGTGATGTGCACGCTTACGCTCAACACATACGACATCTCACGAGTTGTATAAGTTCCAATCCGGTGGATGAACACACGTTGGTTTCGGTGTTCATGCAGGGTCTTGCGGATGGTCCCGTCAAGACTCACCTGTTCCGGCTTGAACTAGATTCACTAGAACAAGCCATTTCTA